TTAACAGATAAACTTCCAGCCAAAATGTAGAAACTTTTGAGAGCTTGTGTTGAGAAAGTTTGGGAACCCATGATTTAACAGATAAACTTCCAGCCAAAATGTAGAAACTTTTGAGAGCTTGTGTTGAGAAAGTTTGGGAACCCATGATTTAACAGATAAACTTCCAGCCAAAATGTAGAAACTTTTGAGACCTTGTGTTGAGAAAGTTTGGGAACCCATGATTTAACAGATAAACTTCCGACAACATACGTCTTCATTTTTGTCGTTGTTGTTACAATATTTTTTATTTAGATTCACGTGTATTATAATTGTCTCAAGTACACGCACTTTTAAAAACTATTATCGTTATATCAGTGCATCCCCCATATGTATATTCTGGGAACTTCACAAAGCATCTAGTTGCCAGTCAAGGTATTTTTTTTGTCGTGTATGTATTAATTAAATCACGTCATATAATATCATAATCTAAATGTAAATGTCACGAAAACGTTTCGAAAACCCCAAATGTCACTGACTTTACGATCGTTCAAGTGAGGTGTGTTTAGTAGGTGTTACTTGACATTTAATATAAAAATACATACGTAGTTGGTAATAGTAGAGGCTAATAGTAGAGCAAATACAGTGGATGCTACACGACGTTAGTTTCACGGTTTTGGTAAAACAGGTATTTGTATTAGAACTTTCGTGCAAACGTACACAAAGAGTATCTGCGCACAGCTATCTCTAATTCTGAGCTAATAAGACTAGAAGGAAGGTGGCTAGCTAACAGTTACCAAAGCCAACATTTGAGTTACTCCGTCAATTAGTGGGATTTGAACGTCACTTTTTTTATATGGATCCACGGCCTCAAAGTGCGGAGTGCAATTTTGTTTTGTTTTCTTTGCAGTAAACGAGACGCGAACGAAAGATTCGTAGTCCATTAGGATAACAACGCTCGGCCCTGGAGTTTTATCATAAATAAGTATACGCCTAATCAAAAGAACCACGAAATTAAATGACAAACATGATAATGAAGCAAACTTGACTAGCCTACACAGGAAAGTTACTTCTTTGTAAGAATTAAATTAAGAAAAATGGCGCCCAGAACAAACAGATATCATTTAGTGAGTAAGAAAGAACCGGTGGATACCACTGAAATGGCGTTAGGTTTAAAACTGTTTGACATAAAATAATATGAGAAAAGCAAGTTATATAAATTTTAGGTCTGTTATAAGATTTCACCTATTTAAGTAACCATTTCTTCAAAGGCTGAGCGCGGCCCATTGGTTGGTCTGTAAATCTGAGGTTTCATGTAACGTCACGTTGGTGAATTACAAGAGTGATGATCAAATCCCACTATTCGTTCTGACAATAGTAGCCCAAGAGTTGTAGTGTTGACAAGGAAAACATATAGCAGACGAATATATCGAAGGCAGCTAGTCATCACCACCCACCGCCAACTCTTGGGCTACTCTTTTACCAACGAATAGTGGGATTGGCCGTCACCTTATAGCGCTCCCACGGCTGAAAGGGCGAGCACATTTGGTGGCATTCGAACCCGCGACCCCCAGATTGCGAGTCAAGTGCCCTAACCACCTGGCCATGCCGAGCCCCCCTCGTGTATCTTTGCACAACATTTCACAAAACAAAACAGGCTAACCATTTTATAATATATCAAGAGTTAAAGAAATTGTTGTAAAACTAAAGCAAAGAGATGTTATTTAGTAACAATGCTCCCACAGTCCCAAAGTGCAGATCATGCAACCTCGGATCGACAGTCCAGAACGCTAACCTCTGGACGACACTCGGCTCGCAGTAAGACGTGGATGGCTATTCTATTTTTTATCCTTTTAATTAAATCATTTGTCGCATTTGACATTTTATTTGCATAGTTTCACGACAATCTTTGAATTTTTGATTTCCTTAATTATTACAAGCAGCATTTAATGTCACTGAACATCTTATTATAATCACTGCCGTGAGCGTGCGTGAGAAGTTTTGCAAACCTGTTTTCTTATCTTCTGCTTTATTTTAATTGTATTCCATTGTTTTGACCTTGATTAACGTTTATTTGAAAAGTTTTTTTTTTACCTGGCAAAGAGGCTTGAAACTAAATAATATTTGTATATTTGAAACGATCCTTATTTACTTTCGATGTTACAAACATCGCCGAAACTCACTGACTTAGATACGATTCTAGTAGTTTCAATCAAGCTGATCAGTTCATCAAAATACAACAACTGCATTTGTCTTTTAATTATCGATAAACTGATATACTCAATCGAAGTTTTTGTTCCCTTTTTAAGTTCAAAAATTAAAAAAACTTTAATGAAAAAATGTGTACAATTTATAAACGAATAAACGATACAAGTGCCACCTAGCCGAAGCATTTCGACTCGCTAACAAAGTTTTTACATCTTCAGTTGGGGATTATATCCACAAGTTTCTTTTTTGTCAGGAAATTCTAACAACGAGACTACAAGCAAAATGCTATCATATAAAAAGTAAGAAATTACATAAATTAGGATAAGAAACCATGAAAATTAACCACTACAATAAAACTGTATTATAATATTTAATTTTTATTTTATTTCGGAAGTTGTTTAGCCCGATTTGTGTCATATGAAACAAAACTCAAACTTTGAATGATAGTATTTATAATTTTATTACGATCAATAATTCGTTTTCAAAGCATTACAAATCTCGTTCTTGCAAAACATTCCAGTTACAGAATATGATTAAATGTTTTTATCTTTATTTTACTCAACAACATTATCTCATTAAAATTAGCAACACTTTCAAACACAAGTTGAAATTTACTAACTGATGACGCTATTAGAATAATTTCTATACATTTTCAAATTAAAAGACAACACTATAAAAGTCATATTAGTCTAACAAAATGTTATTTTTTCTATTTACTCTTGGGATAAAAATGCATCTTTGCACAGCTTTTATGTTTAATAAGCCTATAAGTATATTCTTGTATTTATTCTAGCAACACAATGAAAGAATGATGCTAGTTTTGAATGTTTATATACTTAATAACAGCAGTCAATTCTATGTTAAATGAAGATGTGTAGATCAAAAGACTTCTTACTATCTTTAACATGTACTTGTTATATCCTAGCTGACCTAAACATAAAACCATTATGTGGCAATTTTTTTACACATACTACCTCTCAGTTAATATAATCTATCAGGTAAGTATGAAATCAAAATGTCCTGATTAATTTCAAATCTCTAAAGATATGCTAGTAATAATACATACCTACATACCATCTTATTTTTCTAAACTTACATATTTAGACACTCAGATATTTTTTTACACTGTAATTTGTACCTCCTAAACACAAATCTTGTAATTGTTTATACATGAATAATGTTTATTCCACAAGTTTTAAATATTATGTACTGATAAAAGTAGCATGTAAAATCAGTTTTTTTTATATATTTATGTTTGTGTGTGCAACCTTTTATAAGTGAAGATTTTTTGTACAAAAACTTTCACTGGTCAAATATACATCATACATGAATATTTTTATTATTGATATTAAAAAAAACTTTTTAAATTTTCTACTACTCAAATTTTTTCAGGTAGGGTTGTTATAAACTTACAGTAAATAGATTACTATTCTAATGCAATACCACTTTTACATATATCAAAATCCCATACCAATTTACAATACAAACATACAAGACAAACGACTGAGAGATCTTGACACTGTTCAAATATTAATTAGTTTGAACAGAAAAATAAAGTTTCAGAACAAGTTACAAATCTGGCCAGAATTATTATAGTAAGTATCATTTATAGAAAGTCAAATCCTTGTTAAGTGTTAGAGTATAAAAAACCTGTTTGTTTTTGTTTAAACCTTCAGAAAATTGTATGTTGGTGCATTTCCTTAAGATTTTACTAAAATGTATTTCTCACTTAAATCTTATCTAAGCCACTTATTGAGTCAAAATAAAAGTAATTTTGACTATTAAAAATATAAAATTCTGTTTCATATAATAGTTTTAATTTTGAAAATACCTATAACACTAACATTATTTTGCTTATTTATGCAATCCAGCTTCAAAGTGATGCAATGACACTATGCACCCTTGTAAAAAACAACAACACTCATTCTAAAAATGTAATTTGTTAGAATATAGACAATTTAATTATTAAAAAATTAATAACAAAACATCTTGTTGGAACAATCAAAGATTAAAATCCTAATTGCATTAACAGAAATAAGGCACTATCATAAGGCTCTGATTTTCTGACATAGATGGCTAGCCAGAGAAGAGAAAGCTATCAGTCCTAGGTCTCATGACTAAACAATGTACTAATCTCATCAATGGGTTTTAGCAGACTAATAAGGACATCATCATCTCTTCGCTGAAAGAGCATCTCGCCTTCAAAGTAGACAAGGCCATGCTTTCTAGCCCGCATCAGTACACCTACCAACTTATTAGATATCACTGTATAGATCTAAGAAAGAAAAACGAATTTAATGGTTCTATAATATCAATTCTTGTTTAATAGATAAGCTTTTATTTTATAAGCTATACTCCTGGTACAAAAACACTTCAATCTTCCATATTATTTCACTCATACAATACACACTCTTTCTGCTGTATACATTTAATACTGACAAAACCACAGTAATTGTACCACTTTGTAGCATGTATGCTACAAAATGTATCACAGAACTTGGAAAAGCCAGAAATAACATTTACTTGTTATTAGTCTTTGCAAAAGTAATTCTATTCTATCACTTATGTGTATTTCAAAATTATTAGTATTTGCATTAAAATCACAAAAACTTCCACATTCCTCTGGAGGTTGTCAAAATTAAATTTAACGTTTCTCAAAAATTAAACTCAATTCGAAACATATCTTGTTAGAGTTTTGAATAATGCTTTTCAACATAAGACTGACTCTTACCATAAAAGTTGACTATACAACCTACTCAACAGAATTATAAACATAGCAAGATACGTTGGAAAATTAAAGACTGACTCTCACAGAACAACTAAGTCAACAGGAGATTTACTCCTGTTGGACAGCAGAAGATGTCATAAGATGGTTGAACCTGCAAGATGCCCTAATCACTGTAAATTCAACTCATGTTGGACAGGATCAAATGCTCTAATCAGCAAATGGCTGACTCAAGTTGTACAGCAGGACAATATACCACAGTTACTGGAATATTTTCTCCTGTTTAGCAGCTTGCAATTAAACATTATAAACTAGAGAAGCTGAAACTGTATAATGAGTCTGAAATGTCAGACTTACAAAAAATTGTACATATATTTTTTTTTTAATATACTTTGAAATATGTACTACTCAACAAATGCCCAAGATCTGTTAGACATGATGCCCAAGTGAACTGGTTAATAGAAGCATATGTTGTTGGGCAACAAACAATATCCAAGACAATCAAAAGCTGACTTTTGTTCGACAGCACAGTATGACAAGATGTAAGCATCAATGTAGAAATTACACTTGAAGAAAGCTTTAGATTTCACTTGCAGGCTGAAAACTGATTGTGCAATAATTGGACATAGTAATTTATTTAGCTGCTTAATTTTATAAATAAAAAGACCATAACATTTGAAAGAACTAAAATCTCACCTGAAACAATTCTCCAAAAGTTATGTCAGCTGTTCCATCATAATTCTGTTCCCCATTTTTCCAGATCATTTCACACAAGAATTTAATCTCATTACTGATCATTTCATTAGCCTTTATGCCTCGACCCTCTGTCTTGGATCCTTCTACTGGCTTTCCATACCTTGGATCATCTTTATCCAGTCGAGCCCTGTGAGATGCTCCTTCCCAGCTTGAGAATGGATTAATCATCTGCTTATTTTTATGCTCTTCAGCTTTCTTCTGAAACATTGAAACTCTGCTAGCTAATCCAGTGTTACCATAAATCTTTACTGGTTGCTTTCGCAGCTGAGCCATTCCATGATCTAACAAGCATCAAGAACATACATTTACCTGGTAACATTTCTAAGTATATAAGCAATACTTAACTATTAGACTTATTTAGCTTCACAATAAAGAAATATGCAATAGAACCTAATGTTTTACAAGTTAATGCTAGAACACTTGTTTACTACTATCATTACTTTAACATTAGACTGGCAGTATGTTTTATTGCATAAATTATCATGTAAGCTTTACAGAATCATTAGTTTACTATTAAGAATATACTTGTAAACCATAGACTTTTTTTTGTCTGGCCACCTTGTCTTCAAACTCCATTTTGTCTTTGAAAGTGTTCCTACAACTTGTAAGACAGTCATCAGATATTTTTGTTTCCCAATACGAGGCAACTTCAGCACTTAAGTTGCAGATTTATATCTATTTGAACTTTAATTTTCATAGAATACAAACCATTAAAAAAAAATAAAGCTATTCGTGTCACCTTGCTTTAATATATATATTGATTACATTCTTTCTTATAGCTAAATATCAAGATTTTCTTGACATAGCCAAACAAGAGTTTCATTCACTACAAATAAATCACAATATCTGGACTTTGATATCAGCACCATCAATCAAACATTCAAATTCAAAGTTTTCAACAAAATGTACATTTTCAAGTTTGATTTATGAACTTTCCATTTCCAAACAAAATTAAAATGTTTACTATTCACAACTTATTAGGTACAACAGAATTTACTCAACATTTAAAGAGTTCTCGTAAACACACTTTCATTTTTCACAATCACTGTTGCTCCTATCACATTTTAAATGCAAAATTCATTCAGTTTTGTCACAAATTCAACAAGATTCTTGCTAACAGCTATTGATTTCGAACGTTAAGAGAATATCACCACCTTTAGAGCTGGGTGATTTGTGATATTTACTAATCAGTTAATTTATGGCCCAATTACATTGCAAAAAAGGGAGGGGTAGCAGTAGGTGCTGACACACAGTTGCATTCCCTCTAGTCAGCAGTTCAAAAACAACAATGAATAAGTAAAAAACATAACTTTATATACTTGATTCTTTTGTGAAATTAATCTAATCATAACTTAGATTGTTGGAATAACTGAAAATGGTAATAACCTAACATACTAATTTCAGTTAGTTTTTTTTTTTGGTGACAATTAACATAATTGAAATTGTTGAAATAAACAAAAACAGTAAAATTCAAAAACACTAATTTTGAATGATCCATTAGTTTGCCTCCCATTGGCTCAATGGTACCTCTGTAGGCTTATAACAATAAAAACTAGATTTCAATACCTAGCACAGATAACCCATTGTGTAGCTTTGTGCTTAACAGCTAACAAACAAATAAATCAATTCATTTATGTGGCACTATATAATGTAATTCCTGTTCATAGATAATCAATTAAGTCACCCAACTATAATGATCGCCTTTTAAAAGCTTTTGTTTGGAAAATGTTAAGGTAATAGCGAACTGCTTGAGTGTATTGATACCATTAGTTTTACCTCCTGTTAATTTAAGATCTTATTATGTATAGTCACTATTACCTATATAATAATTCTACATATGACATTACCTCATTAACTAAGCTACAACACTTTGTGCTTATTACTCTCTTTGCCACATTGATGATTGTTGTAAATTTTATTGTTACTACTGAACTTTCTCAATGATTATCTCATTTACATCCCTGTTTTTATAGAATAATTTACTATATTACTTACCGTTGAGTGGTCCATGTGTTTTCAAAGATAGAGGTTATGTAAGTGGGAGTAGTTAAAAAATGTACATTTTGTTCGAAACTTTAAATTTGAATGGTTGACTGATGGTGCTGATATCTAATTCCAGATATTGTGATTTATTTGTAGTGAATGAAATTCTTCCTCAGGGTGAGGTCTGGTGGATAAACTTGTTTGGCTATGTCATGAAAATCTTGATATTTAGCTATAAGAAAGAATTTAATGATATCGTTTTCATTGTATCACATCTAAAATTGTTATATTTTCATCAGAGAATGAATATTGTACCTATTTGTTGTCTGATTCAAGCATTCTTTAATTTATTATTTTGTTTCTTCATAAAGATCAGTTTCGGGCTGTACTACCTGTAATGTCTTACTAATTCACTCCGCACCTGTACAATAACATGTGTAATAGTAATTATACGCTCCTCTAAAGTTACACCACCAGAACTCATTAGTGGATTTAATTTGTACCAGATGTCTTACATATGATTGTATAAAACTTTGTTTAGTTTTATGTGGTTGTAGAGATATTACCTTGTTCAACGAACGTTAAATCGGCAACAGTACTGGAAGCTAACAGCTGGTATTTTTTTGTTTTGTAGGTAAGGTATATTCATTTTTTTTATTGTCACTTTAATAAAAAGTATTGGTTAGTTGCTTAACATATTTAATTTTATTAGTTTTTATTTTTTTTTAAATATACTTTTATTAAAGGGATTGTTTTGCATTGTTAGCTTAATACATGAGTTTAGGTCTAACCCAAATCTCCAAAGCTGGCCAAACTTTAAGATATTATTGATATTTTAGTCCAAAATATTGTTATCAGCAAAGGTTCCCTACTGATGAAAGAATGCATTCCAAACTTTATAATTAAGAAAATAGGAAAAGCATATTTAATTAGCTATATTCATTACTTGGTTTAATTTAAGTTTCACTCTATATAGGTAGCTTGCTCTGATTGAAAGCTAATATCAATAAACCCAAGACACTTACAATGGAGTCATTATTTTTTAACCAGACCTTTAAAGGGAAGTAACTTTTATAGGAAACTAACGTGCAGATCAGAATACTGCTACTATTATACAGATTATCGAGTTGATTAGATGGGATTAAAAAGCATGTTAAATTTAACAATGACAATGTATGAGAAAGTGCTGGAAGTAGCAGTGACATAGGATAACATTCTTATCTATGCAAAATAAACTCTGGGTGAATGAGAGGAGAATATTTTTATCTTTATTAATCACTTTTTTTTCTTCTCATTCACTGCTGATGTAACAAGCTTTCATGAATAAATATTTATTTATCTATAACTAAAAAAGAAGTAAATGCTTCAACTAAGTAGACACAGATTGAATTCACTGCTTTATGCCACTAGAACTAGGATTTATATACCATAAATTTTAAGAGTGATAAAGTAAGGGCAAGACTAGCCTGCTGATTTGCCACTTCTGATTGATGAGTAAAGTTAATTAAAAGTAAAAATAAATAATAATAAATAACTGATGTTAAAGGATTACTTTGGTGAACTGTGCTGTTTATCAATGAACAATTACTGCTATAGTGTGAACTAGATTAAGTTGGGGAACTGTACTGTTTATCAATTTTATTTAACTCATTTACATATCAGAATAGAGTAAGGATTAACAACACATTATAATTATTTATCGTTCACACTATAGCAATTGTTGTTCATTGATAAACAGCACAGTTCACAAAGGAATCTAGTTCACACAATAGCAGTTGTTGTTCATTGATAAACAGCACAGTTCACCAACTTAATTTAGTTCACACTATAGCAGTTGTTGTTTATTGATAAACAGTACAGTTCACCAACTTAATCTAGTTCACACTATAGCAGTAATTGTTCATTGATAAACAGTACAGTTCACCAACTTAATCTAGTTCACACTATAGCAGGTGTTGTTCATTGATAAACAGTACAGTTCACCAACTTAATCTAGTTCACACTATAGCAGTTGTTGTTTATTCATAAACAGTACAGTTCACCAACTTAATTTAGTTCACACTATAGCAGTTGTTGTTTATTCATAAACAGTACAGTTCACCAACTTAATCTAGTTCACACTATAGCAGTTGTTGTTCATACAATTTGATAAAATAAGTACTGTTTCAACCACTACTATATTTGTGATATTCCAGCTGGTCTGACGAGTCCTGGTAATGGACGAAAGGCCTTTTAAGCACTGTATATAATATAGTGTTGTTAACGTATTATTATACACTCTTCTTTACATTCATTCACAAGTTCTTAGAATCTGCTGACCATGGCCACCAAATGCTCCCACTGTAAGCACTCAGTCAGTACTTCACTGGAGTGCTTATTATGTTCTGTATTTGCTTCCCTTAGTGGAAAATAATGGCACAATACAGGTTATTTTGAAAAACATTTTAAAGCAGATTTTACATTTTTGAACTATCGAACTTAGCAAAATTGTGCATACTGAACTTTCCTCTTAACATTCATACCACTAAGAAAAAAATACCTGCACCAATTGTTTTTTATTGCACGACAAAGTCTGGGATACAAAAAATTTTGAACTTTTCAGGAAAAACTACATATGGTTCTA